TTTTTTTTTTAATAAATCTTTGATTAACATCAATAAAAATAGGAAGTATCATGACAAACTTTTGCAGTTTGATAATTAGCTTTGAGTAAAGCTATTTCAGCTTCAGTACAATATACAACTGCGTATATTATAAAATGGAATATAGGAAAATACATAAATGTACTGGTTCAAAATGTCTTAGAAACGATTGCAGTAAGTTATTTTAACTTAAATCACATAACACTGACATGATTTGTGCTCTTGGTTAAAATGTGGTTGGAAATTGCACTCTGATGTGAGTAAGATGTTCCAGTGCCCGACATTTGCAGTTCCTCTAATTCACACATATCATACCACAGGAAGGTAGTATGTCCATAATTTTCTTGTTATTTGATAGTTTTGTTTTTTTTTGGATTACCCCATTCCCAAAAAAAAGTGTATTTTTAATATGGATCAATTGCATACAATTATGTCCGCAAACATCACACACTGAATTCAGACACTGAAAAAGACATTATAAAGCACTAACTAAATCATAATTCTTCAGAAAAGGTGATTCTTTGGCAATAATGGTGTGATTTACAAGCAGCTTTTATCAACTTATTGGCAGAAAGAGGTCAGAAGGGATGTTTTGATATGATGCATAATGTCAACATCAGTAAGTAACATTAGTAAGCAATAAAAATGGATTCAAAGAAGCAAAAGTTCAAAAGATATATCCAACAATCCACCAAAAAAAAAAAAATCAAGTTAAATCTCTTCCATATCTCAGTTGTTTCTCTTATATTTAAATGAAATTAAATAGAGTGCATGTGAGACCTTTCTACCGTTGAAAGGACCCCAGTAATGTCTGAGCTCAGATTTGCCAAAATACCAAAATCTGCTATTAAAATTCACAAATCTCAACATTTCTTATCAACTTGTGGCAACTCGTTTTCTCTCATTTTAGGAGAAACATCTCAGTCAACATTGATACTTCATATACGTTAAACATACTGTGACCCTGAGCTTTGAAAGCGCAACATTTGAGATATTAATATCATTTGAAACCTATAAAAGGGCTGCATTCACCACTTTGGTAAGGCTAAAGCCACTACAGTTCAGCAGGTATTAACTAACTCAAAATAGACCAATTAAGGCCAAAAAAAAGTGCTCAAATACTGAACAAACAAGCTCTAAATCCTTCTATAAGCTAAACATCCAGGCTTATGCTTCCAACTGCAACAAAAGCTCGTGATCCACAGCTTTTGGCACACTTGTGTGGGCACTGTAAGACAAAACAGTGTGAAAACATGTTTTCTTATAACTGAAAAAAAGCTTGATACGTCCCACACATGTTGTTTTCTTTAAAAGATCAGCTTGTGTTTTTAAAAGAGCGGGTTCTCAAATGCAAAGTTTACTTCTACACGGTTTTCTTCTACGTTTTGTGGTTTCCTGCAACTGCCACAGGAACAGCTATAGCAAAGCCAACTGGATAAGTTAGATGTAGCCTACATCTTATTAGTGCATTTCTAGACAGTCAACAACCGTTACATCAGCAACACGGACAGACAGGCTGTCTCTTTTCTATTCATATTCTTAGTTCTTCTATTTATACGTATTGCTTTTTAGAGTTAGACCAAGCTTCAATTTAATTTGAAGGTTCATACATAAGGTACAGAGTATGAAAACAGCACTTACCGAGTGCGGCTCAAATGAACGCAGCTCTTCAGTGCAGTAGCCTACTCTGAAAGTACGCCTGCTTATGGAACTTCTGTAGACCTGCACGCACGTGACGCGCGCGTTTCACACCTCTCATCACACACTAAAGGAAGCAGAAAGAAATGGTGTGCGGTTTGCAGAATTGCACTCTCTTCGCTGCAAAAAATATAGGTCGTTGACTTTTATTGTACAGCATTGCTCAAAGTTCGTATGTTTAATTTTATGACATTAAATCAAGTGATTTTTGTCGTATGGATCCAGAGATGTCAGTATAGCAGTATATATAAGAATTGTTTTGTAGCCTGTTTTATTTAGCTATTTGTATTTTTGGTTTATTTACTTATCTATTTATTTTAAGAAGCAGGGTAGTGTTGACAAATTCTACAATGTTACATTTGTCTGTCAATATTTCCTCCCAACAATTCGTACTGTCGGCTGTAGTTCTGCTAACGATGCCCGAGTCACTATTTTTGAGTCGAATCTTTTTAATGAATGAGTCAAACGGTTCAGTAAAACGGGTTGACATTTGAACGACTCACTCACAAAGGGAATCGTTTAAGTTATTAAATCCACTGGAATAAGACGTTACAAAAATGATTTAAAAAAAATGCAAATGTATTTTACAGAAATATGTTAAATCCATTTTGGTAGACACAGGCACTGGCAATAGGCTAGTATGTGTTTTATTTCGGAGACTTTAAAAAAAAGTCTGCTAATAACATGTAGCCTATTAAATTGCAGCTGACTGTTTTTAATATTTCATGCTTATTTTTAAAAGCAACACTGCTTTTTTTTCCCAAGTAGGCCTACACTCTCAGAAATAAAGGTACAAAAGCTGTTACTGGGGCGGGTCCTTCTCAAAAGGTACACTTTTGTACCTATGTTCTAATATGTACACTTTAAGTACTAATATGTATCTTTATGAAACAAAATGGACTCTTTAGGTACAAACAGGTACTGCCCCGGTGACAGCTTTTGTACCTTTATTTCTGAGAGTGTAGGATTTCCAGCACAAAACATGGTGCCAGTTAAACTGTCAGAATAGATCCTCAATACGTAAATGTACACTTTAGGTTGGCGAGTGGGGAGGGTGGATGATTTTTGAACCGGTTCTTTGAAACCAAACGATTCAGTAAAATGAATCAGACGTCTCAACTGCAGTGTGTAACTGTTCTGCCAGCAGGCGTCGCTAAATCATAAAAAGCGACATCTATATCCTCAAAAAGGCATAAATGTAAACAGTTTCTCTTTCTGAATGTGTGCGCCGATCGAAATATTGATTAATTGATTGAATATTGATGGATCAACATGAGTGAAATAAATGCTAAAAAAAAGTAGCCTACATATGGGGCAATAGTGATATGGCGCAATTTATCAACATGTGCATACTTTCTGATATATATACATATATATATATATACTTATGCGAGAAATGTATAGACCATAGCCATGTCAGCAAATGGTGTACCAATCTTTTGTTATTTTAGTCACTTTTTCTTTTTTCTTTCTTTCTTTTTTTTCCAAAGTACATTATTTAATATTCATGACAAGATTAAACAAAAGCCAACAGATAAATCAGCTCTGTATCATCGTGGTGTGTAAATACAGTGTATTGCTTATAAAGTAGTTGTAAACATATAATAAAGTAGGCATAGGCCAACAGCTAATTAACAACTAGTTAAGCAGCTACTGATGCATTTTTTTGTGGTAACCACAGGAATGAAAATGTGATGAATGGTTGAGAGGGTTTTTTTTATTTCACTCTTTGTTTTGGGAAAGTAAGTGAGTGTGGCCTTAAAGAAGGAAAGATGAAGGAGGAACAGGGAGGGGTGGGATGGGGAGGTGGAAATATGGGGGGATGGGACACAGAGTAAGAGAATTGTAATTGTTGCGTTGCATCAGGGAACGTACCTTCACTCTATATTTCTGTTGCTATGGAAACCTGTGAGGGAGCTGGCGGATGTCTGGGAGACCCCCAGCGAAAGTCTTAAACACACACACTCACACACACACACACACACACACAACTGCAAACACTGCATGAGCAGATCTGAAGCAGCTCCTTGATTTACACGACCGCACACTCACTCACTCACTCACTCACTCACTCACTCACTCACTCACACACACACACTCTCACACACACACACACACACACACACACACAGAGAGAAATCCTGTGTGGTTGTGTGGATGTCTGAATAAATTTAATTTTAATTATTTGAATGGAATCCAAAGCTTTGCAAAGAAGCAACTGTTGTGTCTGTGATTTAGATTTATGATAAAATCCCACAGATTGCCAAAAGCCCCACTTAATCTCAGTGTGTAGCTAATTAATAAAAGCTCTAGGGCAAATAACTCATCTCTCATTTTATCTAATGAGATTGTAATTGTGATTTATACCAATTAATATGAAAGAATGAAATACTGACTGCAGAATATGACTGTTAAACTGGATGACTTGAACTGACTTTGATTGCTAACATCATATTTTTTTTCTTTTACTTACGCTGGTTATACTGCATCGATACTTACATAAATTGAAAATATTCATTAATTATATATTTATTATAGTACAAAATACCTAATTCCTAAATATACTCTTTATTTAAAAAAATCATATTGTATATATTTGACATATATATTCATTATATAGATAGATAGATAGATATAAATTCTTAGTGCTGTCAAACGATTAATCGCGATTAATCGCATCCAAAATAAAAGTTTTTGTTTACATAGTATATGTGTGTGCACTGTGTACATTTATTATGTATATATAAATACACACCCATGCATGTATATATTTACGAAAAATGTTACGTTTATATATTAAATATATTTATATGTAATATAAATTATATGAATATAAATGTATACATGTAAACACATGTAAATATTTATATTTATATATAATATAAATTATATGAATATAAATATATACATGTAAATAGATACTGATAAATATTTTCTAAATATATACATGCATGTGTGTGTATTTATATATACATAATAAATATACACAGAACACACACATATACTATGCAAATAAAAACTTTTATTTTTGATGCGATTAATTGTTTGACAGCACTATATGTAAAATAGAGTGGAAAACTGAAGTGTGATAATATTTACCATTATCACACTACAATTTTCCACTCTATTTTACATAATGGAATATTGGAAAGTATTTTAATATCCATGGTAAAGTACTTTGCTGTGTATTTGATAATTTTTACTGTAATTTAACTTAAAGTATACATGCAGGAAATTTGATAACACAAAATACTACTGTAAAACAAGATCATTTAATATAATATAATACAATATCAATTATAAATGCAATTAAAAACCTTTATGTATACATTATTGAAACATTTATTTGTATAAACATAAACGTTAGAATTAGATAAATTGAAGACTGCCTTTTTAATAAAGTGTTTGTTAGAAATAAGTCTTGAGCTTTTCACATATCAGTGTGTGATCCTGCTTTTATAGTTTTGAGAAAATGGAGCCTCATCTCAGGAAGCGTGTCTTTGCTGTTGAGAAAAACTAATTAGATGCATCGCAAAACCCAAAAGCTTAGCCACCATCTGCGCCAACAAAAGCAAGTTGTTAACTTGTGTATTGTCTTGACTTACTTTCAGTAGTGAATAAAATAATTCAATTGAAGTTAAGTTTTTATTTTTTATAAAGAGTTTAATGAACTCTGCAGATCATTTATCTGTTATTAAAAACATGCATTTCAAATGGTGGTATAGAAAACAATGTACCATAATTCCTGTTAATGCTTAAGGGAAATGATAAGCAAACACTTTCTCTAATATTGCTTCTGTTAGTGTTATTTTTACAGGAAAAATGAATGAAAATGAAACAGTTTTCTCAAAACCGTCTCTGTTTAAGCAGCTCGCATGCTGAGATTGTACTGAGTCATTCACAGTGAATACAAATGAAAGTACAACGCACACATACACAAACAAACACTCACACACAGATTCTTGAAATGCCCCATGCAGTGAAATATCCAGCCGCGTGACTGAATTGGCTGTCGAGGGAAACTGTGGAAAACTTTAGTGGAAAAATATTTATAATGCCAGCGATACATTAAGACAGCTTGCAGGAAAACATCAAATACTGTGCATGGTTCATTTAGACGAAAACTTTTTTTTTTTCTTTTTACCCGATCATCACGTCCATGCGTGCCATGAATTTATTTTCACTTTTCCAGCACTTTTCCAAAACACTCCTCCATGACTAGCAGACAGGAAATGATGCGTTGTGCTTTGAGAATGTGTCACTGAATATGACAGACACACAAGCAGAAAGATACAAATCAGTAATGCATAAAAGTAATGTAAAAATCACAATATGCATGCCATAGCAAAAAACAACCAGCGTAATCTCATGTACATTTAGAAATAGTTTTCTCATTTGAAGTCATTAGATTAAATGGGCAAAAATGGAGAATCTTATTTCTCATTTATTGAAAATCGTACAGTTTGCTGTCGCTTTTCAATCTTATTATCGGTGTTGTGCCAAGTTTGTCTTTGATGACCCAAACGGTTGGTTCTTATGTATCTTCTAATGGAGAATTGACTCAAATTGAGAAAGTCTCTCTTAAAGTCTCCACCTATTTCTTAATTGAGTCTTTTCTGTGCTTCAGAAAGAACTAATGGCGCTAACATCTTGAAGATTAAAACATCTGAAACATCCAAGCTATTGTCTGAACATGAATTGGATTACATACTCACCTTCATTTCTTCTTAAAGCATAGAACACAAAAAGAATGTATACATCATGCAAAAAAAATGGGATTGGGACTAGCTATCTGCAAAAGCTGGCTCCAATATATTAAATATTAATTAGTCCTCGTTTGAGCTTGACAGACAGTCCCTATCCGCAATTTAATTGTATGGAAAAGAGCATTAACATTCTGCTAGACAAGTCCTTTTGTAAAATCAAACAAATAAATAATTAAAATAAATAAATAAATAAACAATTATTTTGTCATTTCATTTTTTTAAATTATTAAATATAAAAAATCTT